ACTTCCAGCTGCCTGTAGAAGGCCTCATCAGCCGCCTCCTCCTGGTCAGGTGGCCTGTAGCAGAAACCCACCACAGTGTCTCCCACATTGGCCTGCCCTTTAACCCTTACCCACAAGCTCTCCACCCACTCATCATCCACTCCCAGGCTGAGCTCCATGCATTCCAGTTGCTCTCTCACATACAGAGCAACTCCACCACCTCGCCTTCCCAGCCTGTCCTTCCTAAAGAGCACATAGCCCTCAATGACAGCACTCCAATCGTTTGAGCTATCCCACCACGTTTCTGTGATTCCTTAGAGATCGTGGTGCTGGGACCGCACACAGATCTCCAGCTCGTCTTGCTTATTCCCCATGCTTTGCGCTTTGGTGTATAAGCATTTCAGGGAGGTAATCGAGCCTGAACTTTTCCCAGGAGGTGTGAGAGTGGACGCTCTACAATCACGCCCTAGCCATACTTCCCCACAACCATAGGCCTGTTGGACAGCCATTGACTTAGGTTGTATGGGATTGATTGCCCTGTCCATATGACTCTCCTTCCGCCTTCTTGCTCAGTTTAAAGCTCTCCTAACAAGATCGGCAAGTCTTTTGGCAAACACAAGCCTGTCCTTCTTGGTGAGGTGGATCCCGTTACCCTCCACTAGCTGGTGGTCATCAGAGTCCCGTGATCGTAGAATCCAAAACCTTGCTGCCAACACCAGCGGCGCAGCCAGTTGCTGATGTCAAAGATCCGTTTTCTCCAACTTGAATCCATTCCCCTCATTGGGAGGAGAACACTACCTGGGCTCACATCTCTTTTACTGCCACCCCTAGGGCTCTGTAATCTTTCTTGATTTTGGAGAGTTTCCCCATGGCATCATTAGCACCCATGTGAAATAGCAGCAGGGGATAATAGTGTTTCAGACCATCCGGGGGAGCCTCTTTGCAACATCCCTTATTCGAGCCCCTGGTAAGCAGCAGACCTCCCTGGATAAGGGGTCAGGTCTGCAGATGGGTGCCTCTGTGCCCTGCAGCAGGGAGTCACCCATAACAATCACCCGCCGCTTCTTCCGGGTGCTCCTTTTTTCCTTCGGCAGAGCAGCCTCAGGGTGTGGAGCTGTCGCTCTCTCTGCAGACCGCCCCCTAGATGGGCCTTGGTTGATATCCTTATCTAACTGCTCCTCAAGCTCCAGGGTCTCATACCTGTTGGATATGGTGACTGGTGGGGGTGAGGTGGGCCGGGGAAGGGTTGTCCTGCCACCCCGAACAGGGACCCTTTTCCATTGTTGTTCGTCCTTGGATACCGTTAATTCWCTTCCCTCCGCCCTGTGGCAAAAGGGTGCTGGCTTTCCAGATGGAACTGGGGGGGTTCTCTTTTGCATTCCCTGATGGCCCTGAGCCTTTCCCCCTCCTCCTTCAGCTTCACCACCAGGCTAAGCAGGTCCTCCACCTGCTCACACCTAAGGCAGGCGGCGTTTTCACCACTCCCTAGGACCAAAGAGAGCCTCAGGCATTCCTCACACCTGCACTGCCTCATGCTTCTGTGGCGGTTCAGTCTGCGTCGCCACAGCCTTCCTGGCGCAAGCTCTCTGACGAGTAGAGACTATGGTTTCCCCTGGGCTCCTGCTGACGGAAGAGACTATGGGCAGAACTCCTTTGATCGCCTGGGAGGAGCCTCCCTGCCTGCCCGCCCGGCCTGCCCGAACTGCCGCGCGAACTGCCGCCCTCCTGGCTGCTCGCGCTCCCTGGGGGCGGCCTCTGAGTTCCCGCCTGTGCTGCCGGCTCCGCCACGCTGAGCCAGGGCCGCCTCGGTTGCGGGGCTCCGCGCTGCCTGCTCAGGGGTCGCACCAGGGCACCTCAGAAAAAGGCACAGACGCCCCCTCCCCCATCCAGTTTAGATCTAAATACAGCAGGGCCCCTTCCCAGCGCTGTCTGCTGCCTGTCCAGGCTTGTGCAGCATCTGAACCCCTGTGAGGGGCAGCCTGACAAAGAACAGTGAATGTAAAG